CAAGCACTCTGGGAGGGGCGAGGGGAGCACCAGCGGTTTGGATGGAAGCCAGTGTCTGTTAAGGAGCAGCATGTGTGCACCTTCCTCAAAGCGCCTCGTGCTGCCGGTTGCAGGAGGCAGGGGCCAGGCTGGGGGACCTGGGTGGGTCTGGCTAACACGCAGCATTCCTGGCTTTGCCGGGGCGACCGGTCCTGGCTGCAGCCAGTTGCTTTTATGGAAGTAGCAGGGAACGTCTGTGGGTTGCGCGCCACCACTGGGAACTCGGTAGCTCCAGCGTGGGGCTAGCAGAGCCGTTCCTTGCCCTTGTTCCACGCGGTCACCCGTGCAGCCAGGACAGAGCGTGTCCCGCTTCCTGCCCGGGGCCTGGAACTGAGACTCGTGAAAACCTCGGTCTTTTGACTCTTGGGGGCTGGCCCGCTTCTGTGACTCTGCACTACCCCGGGAAGCACTTGCATGGCCCATACAGCCCCATCTGGCCTTGGGCGGGCCAGCCTCCCCTCTCCCCGCTGAGCTTGCAGATGGATTCGGCAGGGATTCTCCCGCCACGGCTCTGCCAGCTCGTGCAGCACGGGGAACCCGGCTCAGCACGCGGCTGCGTGTAGCGCGCTGCCGTGACAGATGCCCTCTCGCTAGGATGCCGTGTTTTGCATCTAATGAAGCCATCCAAATATCGATTCAATATCCCCCCTCGCCAGATGTCACCGGCGTGGGCTTCTCTTGCAATTAGCTTAATGAAGAGGCCCCGGCAAAGGCCGCTTGGCTAGAGCCGTGGAATAGACTAATCCAGGCTGAGTGGTTGAAAGATTAGCACGACTGTGCGCCCCTGCTCTCAGGCCCTGCGGTCAGAGCACCATCGCCCCGCTCTGCTGCCTCTGTAAAGCAGCCCCCTCCTGCCCCCCCGAGCCTGGAGAGTCCTCCGGGCAGGGACTGCAGCACACGTCCGAAATCAGGGTCCTGGTGTGCTGGGCGTGCAGCCGATCCCTGGTCACTGTGGGCCTGGTCCCCTCTTGCCTGCACCGTGCTCCTGCTCTGTACCTTCCTGGTGTCAACGACTGCACGAGGGCGACGTGGGGCGCAAGAAACCGTGCCAGGTGGGACCCGTGGGGCCACTGTGGGGGTGTAGGACAGCGACTCTGGTCAGGTCTAGGCCTCAGAGCTCGCTTCTCGCCTGGGCACTTGCATTCCCTGCCGCTTCCTTCCCCTGCGCCTGCTTTCGGGCCTGGGTCCAGAACCCGGTGAGGAGGCTCGCAGCTGTCCGGGCCCGGCCTGGTTGCCCTCTGCTCGCCATCGTCCAGCCTGGGTTGGTGGCTTCTGCGTCTTCCCCTCTAGCAGAGCCGCAGCCTGGCAGGTGGTTCTGTCGGTCAGGGGCGTGGAGCAGAGGGCAGAGCCCGAGCACGTGAAGGACGAGAAGGAGGCATCCTCCCCCCTGAACTAGCCGTCTCCTCCCCCCGCTGAGCGTGCTGAGGGCCCGCAGGAGCCGGAGCTGTTCCGAGCGCGGGTCCCTGGGCTTCCGCTGGGGTTTCTGTGGCTGGCGGCTTGGTCAGCTGCGCTGCAGATGAAGCTGGGATGTCGCTAGAGCAAGAATTTCCTCTTGTAGCGGTCCCACTGTCAGCCGCCCCGCTGCCTTGGGGATCCCGCCTGCAGCCTCCCGCTCCCTTCCTGGGGCTGGGCCGGCAGGAGTGGAGCTAACGGGCCGTTTGTGCAGAGCTGGTGCGGAGCCATTGGAGCAGCCTGCGTGTCTGGTGTTCCTCCCCTCTGGTCCGTGCGCCCAGCGTACAGGGACCGCTGCCTGGGAGCCTTGGCTGCATTTCATACTCAGATCTTGGTGCCGTACAAAAGCGGGTGACCGATTAACGTAACCGTGGGTCACAGGCTGGCCCGAACCCGCTCGAGATTCAGAACCCAGTTCTCAGACGGGCCGTGGCCCGGTCCTTTGGGGAAGAGTCCACGCAGCCTTTGGAAAGGGAAGTCCTGCCCGGCCATCTGTTCTTTGGGCTCTAGCGGCAGGGACCTGTGACAGCAGCCTCCTCCTTGTTCCGATGCCTGGGCAGGGCCAGGTAACGGAAGGGCACGTTTTCAGCCTGGCCTCTGGCGTTTCCCTGCTTCCACGGGTTCCAATCCCTTCCATACTGCAGCCGCCGCACGTTTCTTAGGCTTATGTGGTGCCTTCAGCACTGCCCGGGAAAGGCGTTTTAACGCTGGGGACAGCTCTGCCCTGCTTGTCCTGGCCAGGCGTCTTTGGATGCAATGTGACGGGCCGAGCCGGAGAAGGGGACTGAACCGGTTTCAGTTGGCCGAGTGGGCTACTCAACCTTCCTGTAACTCGGGGGGACTCTCCAGGTAGCCGTTAGCAGTACAGAGTATATGAACACCAGCTGTGCACCT